CACCCCTCATGAAACAGCCTGTAGTGCAATAAAATGTTGAGTCTTTAACCCAGTGTTACATGTTTTATTTGTCTATCTGCTCTGCTATATACTGCATTGAGCACTCTCCTCAAAGAAATGTAAATGGAGCATTCGACTGAAGGACATGATGGACATCGTGTAGCATAGCATCATGTCATTTATTCGAACACTGTATTTACTATTCTTTGATGATCTTGGCATAGGCCTATATATTATACAGTATATACACAATACCGCTGTGACGAGACATAAAAGCTCTTATTATAACATGCAGTACTTATAATTATTTCCATTTCGATCAGGAACACACTAAAAGATGTCAATTTGTACCAACAAAATGTCCAAACAAATGCGGTATGGCGATACCACAAGCAAAGGTATGAAAACGTTATCTTTTTTACAATCATCATGGATACAAATACAAAATGAAAATATCAAAGATGTCTGTTAGATATTAGGCCTATTGTGATTATTACCGGTATTGACTATTGGAAAGAAAAGGGAGGGAGGTGGGGTGGGAGATAATGCAAACAATCAGTGACGTCAGATATTTATAAGATAGTTTCGAGAGATCCAAACTACCAATTACATATAAGATCTTAGGGCATTTTTGTCTGATAAATGAAATAGAACCACTTAACAGTGACTGGAATTGTTTCTATCATTTTCGCTGTATTATATGGGTGACATATTTTAATACACTAATTTCTATGTTTAAGTTGATAATTCTTATATGTTTTTTTTTAAAAGATATTATTTTGGTATTTGAGAAAATATGGTATAGGCCTAGGCATATCTTTAAAGATTTTTTGCTACTACCTGGGTGGCATGTGCCCCTTTCGTTTCTCGCTACCTCCTGGACTACCAGGGGAAAACCCCAGAAATAACTAACACACACACTCACACTATATAGAAATTTCATAGAAGAGGAAACGACAGAAAATACTAGTAATATTTGAAAGCTTTCTATTATTCTTATAACAATAACATATACAACTGAGATAAAAAATAAATCCTTACATGGACAAAATAATAGAAATTTGTTGCCGTATGGTACCGTATAATGCCTATCGTCCTTGAGAAATAAAGAAAAAAATCATTCAAAAAATATTACGGGGAATGTTGCGGAACGTTCAAGGATCTATTTGAAAAGAGAATGACGTATTAATCTAGTTCAATAACCGCTCCTATGGTAACGTCACGACAGTTGATTGAATTGAATGTTCAAGTATGTAAGCCTATCGTGGATAATGTGTTAGTGTAGGCTGCAAAATGTCACGTAAATCCATTTGGATCTCTTCCAGTATCCACTCACAACTAAAGGACAGCCCTGCTATATGCTGTTTTAAACTTTTCAAGCTTTAACTTCTTCAAAGCTTCATTTCATTCTGCATTCAAAAATCCATATAAAGATTATCCAGTATCTTTCAGAGCTGTGACTGCGCAGTTCTGGAGTAAATAGTGAACTTTTCTCTTATTGATATAGGCCTTCTGTATGAGTGTATTTCGGATGCTTACTATAATAGTTTTGTGCTTGATTTCATATTTTAAAGCATAGTTTTCATAGTCGAATAGATCATCAACTCCCTGTTGAGTTATGAGTTGGATCCTTGGTGTTCAAGTTCATCACAGCAGTTATAATATGTATGATCACGCCATGTTCACGCCATATTTTCCATTGTTACTGTATGCCACCTGACACTCGCTTTAGATTGCGAAACTCTTTTGTTTAGTATTGACGTGAGCTCAAAACCGTTTTATAGTTTGAGAAATTACAAAGGGTTTCATTTAGTGTTCACGTAATTTGGCGATGTGCCTAAATTTGTGACATCAAACTAGGTCGTTGCTATAAATTTACGCCGTGGCTAGAGACACGGTACCGTATCGGAACTTCCGATTGCTAAAGGTACGGTAAATGATATTACGTCATGATTAGCCAATAGAAATGACCGACTCGATTTTGGCTTTTTTGCTAAGTCGACGTCGCGATCATGAGAACAGTACGATCAAATTTATGTCATTAATAGGCCCATTTCATGTACTTCGATTGGGGCTTATCACAATGTTTGGGTTAAAAGTCCTTTCTGTTATTCTTGCGTATTTTATGGTCTACCATAGAGAATGGTCTGCTTAGGCCTAGGCCGAATACCCGCCAAGGGGCCTATCTTATTATAGGCGTACTACTAGGCTAAGGCTTAGGCCTAGTACTGTAGTGCTATTACTAGGGGCCTAGCCTAAGCCTATAGAATAGTAGGTACTAGTTATTATTGCTGATTGAAATAGCCAACCAAGCAACATGGCGATTGTAATTATCAGTGAGAGTAAACTTTATTTGTAGTAACAGTAGTATTTGGGCCTAGTGCGTATACTACAGGGAGTATGCACAGTAGTAGCAGGGGTAGCAAAGTAAGGCCTAGGCCTGGCTTCTACTATTAAAATAGTTTACTCAGTCGCTTGATGTCGCCAAATCTAGCAAAACTGCTATCCTTTTTATTTGCTATAGGGCCTCGGGCTTACAGAGTATTAATCACAGCTTGTCAACAACACCCGCGAACGAACGAAATTATCTTCGATCGTGCTAAAACTATCTAACACACACCATAGTCAATTGACTATGCACACACACTGCAGCAGTGTACTGAATGACGTCACGCATGTATCGACCTTTCTATTGGCTAATCATGACGTAATATTATTTACCGTACCTTTAGCAATCGGAAGTTCCGATACGGTACCGTATCTCTAGCCACGGCGATAAATTTAATGAGTCATGTAGTGGAGAGGGGAAGGAGAAAGGATTTTTTTCACAAATTTCTATCAAGGTTATGGAACTAGGAAGCCCTGCAAATCTAGTATACCGCCGAGCGGCTGGAGAAAAGCCTAATGATTCCAAAACGAAAGAGTACGCATTATAATTTGAAAATACACCGACAGAATCGTAAACCTCATATTATTGGCGTATCATCAAAATCAATGAATGAAAGCAGATGAAAGTTATTTCAAAGTCAAATTTCTGTTAGTGATTTGTTACCTTGTGGCGGCTTATGAAATTTCATCAATGAGTATTTCTCTTGATTATGAAATTGATGGTAATATTTCCCATGATTATGAAATTGAATAGGCCTATGATAAGCCTCCATCTAATCTATACCTTATGTATGTACTGTAAGTGTGTTTATTTAAAACCAGGCCTATGTATCGCTATAAGCAACGGGAATTGGAAATTCCCGTTGCTTATTATTTATAAGCCGATTCAGAATGTTGACACAAATAGCTTAAGACAATAATTTAATCTCAGGATGCAGTTGCCATGTGAGGTATGGAATGCCGTAAGCATATCGTTGATGCTTTCAGGCATAGTCGAAAGTTTTGCAAACTTACAAGAGCAAATCATGGAACAGTGACTGGTCCCTGAGCAAATTTATATTTGTGCCTATACAACATTAGTTTTACTATTATACCATGAATACTCGAATTTATACAAAATGCAGACGATTAGTGCTAGAGCACTTAATGTTTGGGGTGTGGAATAGCGAGAAACTCATATCAAGTCACGTATTTTCCTCTAAATGCCTCTCTAATAAATAATATATTATTTATTAGACCTATACTAAATTAAGATTATTATTACAGTATTATCATTATTTTTATTATTGTCAGTATCATTGCCTTATTATTGTTATTTTTATTATTATTATTGATGTTGTTATTACCATTACCACTCAGTTTGTTAGTAATAATAATATTATACGTAACATCATGTGTTTTTTTTTTTGTTTTGCAATTAGATGGACGAACATTTAGAGAAGGAATGCAAAAACGAATTGCGTCAATGTAAATTTGCTGAGTACAGCTGCACGTTCAAGGTAACTTCTTTGACAAAAAACTTATATTTATAGGGTGTGCAATGTGATCTGGAGAAACACATTCAAGACTCGATGTCAAAACATTTAGATATGGTGATGTTTGAAACCGTCCGTCTGCGACTAAAAGATGCAGAATCTCAACGACAAATTGCTGATCTGGAAAATAGGAACAGCATATTAAAAGAGAAACAAAAAGTTCAGGCTAAAGAACTCCAAGAATTAAGAGAGAAATGTGATGGAAATACCACCACCCTGCAGACTTTTGAAGTAGGTTTTAATTTTTTTGCGGGAAAATAATAATTGAACTAAATGACGGTCTGGAGTTTTATTAGGCCCACATCAGTAGACACTGGAATACTTTCAATGAGGCCATCGTTGATATAATGAAAAATATAACATTGCCTTCTATACTTGTAAATATAAATCTTACTCCAAATAGTAAGATTGGTAGTATAATTAATTTGTTGAAACCATTTGAATGTTACATGCTCTCCCAATGGAGGTTAATAAATTTCGAATTTGAATTCAATATAAAGCGGTTACATTTCCAATACATCGTAAATTTCCTTTTTTGAATGATTATGTTAAACCGTTTTCTTATAGAGTTCGCTATCAAGCCAGTTAGATAAATTTAACAAATTTGAAGAGAAATTGACAACTGTGGCAGCAATTGATGACGTAAAGGAAATAAAAGTAATGATTGGTCCAATACAAGAGCACATTCGTTCGCTGAGAGATAAAATGAGAGAAATTGAAAATGGCCCCGGAACTGCTCTGGGTTCTAACGGTTCTAACGGTCTTCAACTCCGTAAGTTAACTTTGTTAATGGACCTTTCCGCAAAGCTCCGCCCCTTGGATATTGTTGCTAAGGTCCCACAAGACGACAATGTTAAAACATACGCGAACACGTGCGTTTGTGGGACAACACGTGTGTTTGTGAGACGCGCGCGTATTCCTAGCGCTGTTCTGATTAGTCAGTTGATAAGTTTGATTGACACTCCGGAAAGGTCTATTTAAGCCAGACACTCACTGCGCCCGACGGTCGGTGGCTGACTCAATTCTATGAAGAACGCAATGTAATGCAACGGATCATGTTTATTAACGATCCGTTTAGACTTCCACCATCACCAACGCTTACCTTGCGTGTTCCTTTATAAGGTCACGACCTAGCTTTTGCATGTTTTCCTTTGTTTTGTTTCGAAATCAAGTGTTTTTATATATGTCATACTGCGCATTTGATCATTTATTTGAAATTTACGCATACTACATTACATATATCATTCTATTTATTATTTTTATTATTGTTATTAATCTTAAGCCTTGTATTTGTACTGTTATTCTTATTATTAATTAATATTTTTGTTGGTATCATTTAAGTATTTAAACATTTTTATCATCGTCATTTTAGATAATATTCATAGTCGCCTTACTCAGATGAACAAGGAAATAGGCTTGCACGCAGCCAGCCTCGCCGAGCAAGATGTGCGGATTCAAATAACTGAATGCGCCAGTTACGATGGCGTCTTATTGTGGAAGATCAATGACTTTGAAAGACGCATGCATGAAGCCAAGTCTAAGAAAAACTACTCGCTATATAGCCAGCCATTTTATACAAGTAGGTTTGGCTATAAGATGTGTGCAAGGGTGTATCTGAATGGGGATGGCAGCGGCAGCGGTACCCACTTGTCGCTGTTTTTTGTCGTGATGAAAGGAGAATATGATGCGCTTCTTCCGTGGCCATTTAAACAAAAGGTAGGGAAGAAATTTTCATTCGATTTAATATATCATCGTCATTTCCTTTTTTCTTATCGCAATTTTTTTCCCATTGGCCTTTTTTGCGTACACGGTTAAATATATTATAATAAAATAAATCACCATTATCAAAAATATTGTCGTAAACATTTTAGCCATCAGCATAATTAACATCCTCATTAGCAGAATAATTATCGTTCTTACTTTCATCATCACCGTCATTATTATCATCACCGTCACCATCATCTTCAACATCTTTATCATCATAAGCATCACCATCGCCATTATCATTATCATATCATCATCATCTTTAGAAACATCATGACCGTCATCGTCATCATATATTTATAATCAGCACCATTGTCGTCATCATCATCATTGTCTATCATCATTAACTCTGTTGTTTATCATTATTAGTGTACAATGATATATTATTATTAATATTTAGGTAACAATGATACTTCTTGATCAATCACCAAGTCGACGTCACCTGACCGATGCCTTTAAACCGAACCCGCTCAGCAGTAGCTTCCAACGTCCGGTGAACGATATGAACATCGCGTCAGGCTGCCCACAATTCGTTGCTCATGGGACACTGAATTCACAAACTTACTGCAAAGATAATACAATGTATATTAAGGTGATTGTTGATATACCGGACCCTTGTGTGTAGATCATCCAAGCTACTTATTGAATAACTGAAAGTGTTTTTGTAGGAATATAAAACGTGCGAAAATGCGTTAATATAAGTTTTTAATAGTTTTTTGTGTTTATTTTTTAAGTTTTGAATCCGGTAAGAATTAGATACTGGTAAGAATTAGATAATAAATTTCAATGTTTAAGTTCTAAAGTTACATCTCTTTATGATAACTTTTAAGTTTTGAATCACAACAAAAGCTTACAAAAAAAGAAATATTTATAAAAATAATAATATCCTAACAAAACTCAAAAGAAATAGATAGACCTAAAGATAATAAATAATATGTGATGTTTTCAAGTTTATGTTTCTTGATCACGTGGTACTGTATTATATAATTATTGTAATTTGAAAGTGTGAACAGAGCCTTAGTATTATTGTTTTCAAAGAATGAGCAAGAAAACAATTTTTTTGTTGGGTTGTAAATAGTTATGTAGTTTTAAATATATTGTAACTACCTCATATATTTATTGCATAGGCGTGTAATATTCTTTGAATATGTTATGATATGCACCTGTTTTGGAATTTAAAACGACTCAATATGTAGATAAGATGTATTATACATTGCGAACTACAATACCGTAAATCCTCGAATAAAAACCTATATTTTTAGGACCCCTAGATGGGCTTATTTACGAGATTACTTTTCCAAACTAAAGAGTAAATATTTGACATTTCTACTATACGACATTTTTCAACTATAGAAATCGAGTTATGTTTAACATTTTAACCAACTTTTTAACTTTTAATAAAATAATATTGATACTGACACGCTGTCATACATCGAAGATAACATAAGATAAGTATATTGTTAGTTGTCTAAATGTGTAAGTACTACAGTAACTCGAAATGAGGAACAAACAACAAAATGGTAAATTAACTTACGTCTTTGTTTACGTTTTGTATTTACAAAGCCTGTTTAACTAAAATATCGACACAAAAAAAAGGAAAATCAAGAACCAAAAGTTATTTGGAATTTATTCAATGTTGAACTTGAGAATTTAATAACAAACAAATATTCATGTAACTTAAATAATGCTGAGAAGAAATGGCCGAATGTTAAAAACAAGCTGCTCAATCATTTACAAATATATTGAATATTGTATAGTACCATGCACCTACTTGTATGTATAGTATTCTGTAGAAATTTAAGACTATTAATTATTTGTATTGTCTGATTTCATTTACTTTAAGGGCTTATTTACTGTTTTTATTTATAATAATCTTGACCTCTCTTACTTAAACTTACCCATTTGTTACGCCAACCAAATATCTAAGAATTGTCTTAAATAAAAAAAATAAAAAGAATATCATAACAATATGAGATTTTATATAATTTTTATTTCTTAAGGTCTTTTTCAAATTGTTGACTTGAAATACCAATCAATGTTTCACCTATACTTTTATTTTTTTATGCATGATTATTTTTAAAAATTATGTACAAATGAACAAAAATGACATTGAAAAAGAAGTATGAATAAAAGTAGGTTGCCCCCACGAAAGAGAAAAAAAAGTAACTCGAAATGAAGCCCGTACTATCTTGATTAGAAGCCCATGGGCAACTTTTCGAAGTTATTTTTGCAAACTAAAGATGAGGGCTTCTTTTGGAGATGGGCTTTGGGCTTCTATTCGAGGTTTTACGGTATCAGATGATTGTAAATAATTAATATCTAAATATGTCATTACTTTCTATATATTTCATAATAACTAGGCCTATATTATTATTATTATTACTGTATTTATTCGAATTGTTGAAAAAATGTTTTTGTGTGTAAAATGGATACGTATATACTCAAATAAACGCCCTTATTTTCACTGTAAATGTGTCCGACTACAACATAGGCCTATTCGGTAATTACCGTCAAATGTGTTATTGCGTGATCATAAAGACACGGTTAAAAAATAGTGTAAGTTCTAATAGAGTAGAACATTAATGGATTGTGTTGAGATTGATTTTACTTCTAGTAAGTTTGTTATTTAATATATTTACTAGCATATTTTTTCATTACTTTTATCAATTATTATTATTATTATTAATATTATTATTATTATTATTATTATTATTATTATAAAATTTCTTTACGAGGTTTGTTTTCAATTAGTCGATAGAATGCAGTGCTACCAACCAAAGATATTTATAATCCTAACTTACCGTACTTAATAACATTTATATAATATTTACTAGAAATTGCAAATTGCAAGTGAAGTGCTGCGAAGTACAACTGCGTATAAATGTTCTTCGAACAAAATTATTTATAAATAATTAGCACGCTGAAATAGGCTAGTAAATAAGTTTAACTGGGTTCGTAAATAATATTGGCCTCAAAATATTGTGCCTGAGACATGGGCTGATTAAACGTAGAAATAGAAAACCTAGAAATATAGTAAAAACGCTGAATAGTAATACTCGAGCGTTGCGACATGCGGACGTTGGTACGTGTAGGTTAGTCTACAAACGTCGCCTAAAGTAATTGATTTTACCCGGCAGAACGAAAGAAGGAAACTCCGCTTTTCAATCGTCTTAGGCCCTTGTTTTTTGACAAACAATGACCTTTCAGAGGTCAAATTGCTGTCAAGAATATGAATTGACTGCTTCGCAGCAATTACTTTAAGTGCACTTATTTTAAATAATATATACATTGGCTGATAATTAGTCAGGTAAATAAAACAATATAATGAAAATATACGCTTTATTCATTTGAGGATATATAATTTTAATAAAGTAAAATGTACTTTGTTATAGTATTTTGTTTTAATTATGTTGATAACAAATAATTAGCATGTTAAGAAATACAATATTAATGCACGAATTTGTCACTCATTGCTTATGAATATATATGTAGCTGGTTTGTTGATACAGTTTTATGCCTAATTATTATAAAAAGGTGTTATATTTTTGTAAAAGTGATTGTTTAAAGTTTGTTTCAAAAGATGGAAATCAGTACTAACGACAGGAGAAGGCATTATCATAAAGTACTTATAAGAATAATTTATGACAGCTATAAACTTATTAGTCTTATATTATATTATATATATATATATTTATAATATATAACGTGTATACAGTACTTGCACATGCGTGTTTTTTTTTTTACACTGAGATAGTATAATATTGAAAGATGATTAAGAAAACCCGATCCAATTAAAAGATTGAATTGATAAAATGTCGTGTCATTCGATTATTCGTGTAGTGTTTACATCTGCTCCTAATAATACGCGCGTAAATCCAAGCTTTGAGCGTAGGAAACTACGCAGTTCCGGTCTGACGCATACGCGCATCTTGCTTTGCCATAGCAACAATGTTGATAAACAAGAAGCGAACCTAAGTACTCTCTCTCTCTCTGGAGTCTCTCAGTCTGGCTCACTACAGTAACTGTAATTACTAACAGTTAGTAGTAGACCTAGATAGATAAAACAAAATATGCGTTAAAAGTAGCAAGGAAATATGGATCATCTTTGGAAACTTGCTGCCGAGCTGTTTGTAGAACAAATTGCACCAACGGCTAATCCAGTCAGAAGTTTAGAATACGACTGTGGTGGTAAGTAACTGTCTCTTATACACATCTAGATGTGTATAAGAGACAGATATATATGTATGTATGTATTTTCAGATCAAGCTGCTTATATGTAATATGCCCTTTTATATATTGACTGAGTAGATAAGCGTAAATTATATAATATTTAAGTAAGAGGCATATGTAAATATGGATATTATTTGGTAATTCGTAGGTGCGACAGATTACAAAACAACTGGAAAATTGCAGGGCCGAAAAATCGTCCAATTTCGACAAGAACCACGAGCTATCCTTTGCGTTTTTCTTCCAAAATTAGGCTATTTTTCACCTTGTCGTTTTTTAGGATGATTTTTACAGCATGGTACCCAAGTGTAATGAAAATACCGATTATGTTTGAATTAACCTTGTTTAACATAATTTTCATCTTAAATGTTGTAAATTATGCCTTAATTAAGCCTATATGCCTATTAAAAAAAATTATATAATTTTTAAGCTTAAAAGTAGATTTTAAAGGCATTTCTAAACATGGATACTATTTTGGTCCTTAAGTGACACAGAACACAAAACAACTGAAAATGGCAGGGTCGACAAAGTGTCAAATTGCGACAAAGAGAGTTTTTCATTTTTGCCACAACTGAGCTATGTTTCGCCTAGTCGTTTTTCGGGTGATTCTTACAGTATGGTACCCAAGAATCATAAGAATACTGATTATGTTTGAATTAACCTTGTTTAATATCATTTTTATATAGCATTAAATGTTGTGAATTATGTCATAATTAACTCTATATGCCTATTGAATAATTAAAAATGTATGGTTATGGTACCCAAGAATCAGGGAATTATCGATTATGGTTTTCACCTAGTGGTTTTCCATAGCATTCAGGCCCGTATCCATAGGAGTACGATGGGTGTGACGCATCTCCTTAATCGAAAAAATACACATAGTTAAGCCAGTATTTTGGCATTAAAACTATGGTAATGAAAAATCGAAGCTGCGATCCAACCGGCTCTGCTCCCTGGCTCCATTGGCCCATCTTTCTACAACCCCGTGCCCCTCCCCTCTCGCCACAACAACAACCCTGGCACCGCCCTGTTATACCTACTCCCCCAAATTTTAGTTTAGGTTAAACTTATATAATTATAATAGGTCTATATGAAAATAAATTTTATTTTATATTTCACTATTTAATAATTATGATATTACAGCATGCGATATCACCGCTATATTAGTAAAGAATAGCGACTCAGTAGACAGTAAGCCAGACAGCGAACCGACTAAAATGCGTCCGACTCATGACAATCTGATGCGTCACCTAAAGCCCGGGAGGATGACTAGTTTGGCAGATCGAAGTAGTTTCGATCTCTTAAAGAAATTGGACGATAAAAAGACGAACTGGCAATATAGACGCTCCAGAACACAGGGCTGCACACTGTTTGGATCTAAGGTTTATTTTTTTTATTTCAGTTTTAATATATAACAATATAATATTAATTTTATAGTAATATAGTAAAAATGTAATATTATGCATAATGTTAAGTCTAACATTAATGATAACGTCAATAACAATGACAATGACACGCTGACAATGACAATTATAATGACAATGAAAACAGCAATGACAGTGCCAATGACAATATTAATAAGGTAGTGATAATGCTCATAATGAATTAAGTGGGTTCGATTCCCCACCGATGTTAAGTATTTAAGAACATACTTGGGTACGATAACACGCCATATGGGGGCAAAACATCACTCCTATGATATTTTCCTGACGCTAACTCACATCAAATAGCATACCGGTATTGCAGTACCCGCTGCTACTTGGGGGTCGGATTCAACACATAAGCGGAATCTCGGTGGTTTGGTGGTTATGAAACCAGGCTAGTTATCTGAAAGTCATGGGTTCGATTCCCACACGAATCACTTGCGATTTTTTGCAAGTATTTGGAAACGTACTGAGTATTCGGTACCGTACAATAACACGTCATGCAGGGCAATCACAACTAATGAAAAAAAAGTAAATTGTGCTGTTAAAGAGCGTTTAATTACATATATTTTAATCTCGCAGATTCCAGATTATATGATAGACGTCGAGTTTATAGGTGTGAAGAAAACCAGGCTTCCTAAGAAGGTGTTCCTTAAACTAATAGCCAATGAGAAGATTGATTGCATAACACCTTTCCTGACAAGATGGAAGTCGTTTTATGTTGTCACCAAAGTTTATAAAGCGGACGCAATCAAATTTCGAATTGTCGTCGGTGATCGCACAAGAGTCATTTCGAAGAATGGGATACAGTTGGCATTTGAATACACAAAAGTAAGAAGTAAATTTAATGATTAGCAAATTAAATTACATTTAAAAACTATAATTTAATTTAATAGTGTGCAAGTTGATTTTTTATTTCGACATGCATCCATCCAAGCCGGTCAAAATGTAAACGTAGGTTGAATGCACTGATCTCTATTATAATAGCTGGATTGCTCATTGGCTGGTTTTAGTAAAGCCACTGACGCCATGTTGGGGAGCCCAAAACTTCAGAAATAGGGCAAAAAGCTTTTGAACCGGTGTGACGACAACCAACAACGCGACATTGCTCACGCTTTTGTAAACTACACAAATAGTCGCATTGAGTGGTTAAATGATTTGAAAAAAAATATTTTTTTTAAATTTATATTTAAATTATTAAAATATATTGCAAGAGTTATTTTTAACAATAATTTAAACAAATTCAAACAAAAACTTTGTCTAGACTTGTACGTCACTTGGGCTCTTGCATATGGCGTCGAAGACTTCACTTTTTTCTGTACAATGATTGGACAATGAGCAATCCAGCTATAGTAGAGATCAGTGGTTGAATGCCACAGTGAGAATGGGTTGCAGCCTGATGATATTCCCATATACACCACACCTTAATTACCTAACTGTATGTTCCCATAAGACAAAACAGACTTGATTTGTGGAAGGAGTGGCGAAACCCCCAAAGCGTTGAATATTGTGTCCCAAACGCAAAGCGAGATTGGCACCCTGGCTTGTGAGCCAGGAGGACCGGTTTTTACTTATAGTATTGTTTTTATTTTCAGGTCAATATAACACCGCAACGGAAAATGGACGTTTTCAAAGATGAAGAGAACGTCGAAGGGCAACTGTACCTGGAAACACTGAGGCAAGAAGGCAGACTACAGAACTTCTACGCCTCGCCTCATAAATCTGTTGTCGAGACTCTTCAAAATGCATTAGACGACATTGACAAAAAGGCACACAAAGGAGGAGTCAGTATTAAAAAATTAACACACGTATAAAATATATTATACATAACTATATTATTATGATGTATAAATCAAGTTGCAGCTTAGCATTGGGAACACAAATATATAGATGTGTATAAGAGAGGCCAATATATAAATAATGTAATTTCCATCTGTGTCTGTATGCCATTATAGTGTATAAAAATAAAAGCTAAGTTACTTATTTCATATCAACTATGCACACGGTAATGGGCTTTATTTTTCCCCAACAGCCTTTGCAGTCTCCTGCTTTCGATGTTGAGTGAGATGGTGCGTTATGCAGAATCCTTACAACAGGAGGAATTTTACATAATTAGAACTTTACCATAACAAATGGTGCACATCAATAAAGAATTGCCTTCAAGTCAAATTGTGTGGATAATTTGTTTAATTGTTTTCATTAACACATAATATCATAATAATATTATACCAGTAAATAGATGCAGCAAAGAAAATGAACTTCTGCGGGATCGAATCAATTACATCTTGCTTTCGTTCCGGTAATCTGCAACTGATCTAAACCGCCCTTTAAATCCTGCAGCAGGCTATACTTTCTTTATGTATTGCATTATATTGGGCTAGTTATTTCTAAAACATTGTACACATACAAGGAACCTTTCCGGAGAGTATATCAACAATTGACCAATAAAAACATGCTATATACAGGGCCAGGATGACGTGCATATCCAGTACCTTCGTCGACCGCTAGGTCGCACTGCCTGTGCATAATATGCTTATTCCAGATATAAACACTAGAGATTTACACATAGTCTCACATCATATTGAATGAGGTGTCTGGCTTCTCACAATCACTGCATACACATATCATGGTAACAAGTATCATGCAAGAACATCAGAAGAATCATATAGTAGAACACCTCCTTTGGACACCCCTATTCAGAGGAAACCCCTAATTAAGGGGACACTTTCTGTGAATCGAGGGGCATAGGCCTATCTTTTAACGCTACAGCCAACCCCTAATAAGGGGACACTCCTATTAAGGGGACGGGACACTTTCTGAGTGTGCAAAATAGTCAAATCAATACAATTTAACCCCATATTAAGGAGACACTACCAGCGCTTGAACCAGCGCCGATATTATAGCTGAAGGTTACGGTGACCCTGACTTAAACCGCTCGGCCAATCAACTAGCCATACACTTATCAAGTAACTCGTGGCTCTCATATGACTTTATGAGCTATCAGACTTCTCACAAATCATTTGTATATTTATATGATGTACTTTAATTACTGAGATTTATAGATAAAAATTTTGATGAAACCCTACTAAATAAAATTCTGCTCCGTGTTATTATTTTCAATGACAAAAACAAAAATTATGCGTATGTCCAGAGTGGGGAATTCTCGACCAGACCCCTACTATACACATTTCATCAACAAAGGGATTTGCCAATTATTTGTCAATAGAACAAAGGTAGAAGATTATCGACTTTCCGGCTTTTCTTTGTCGACTGGTCACCGTTGTCAAGCAACACTATGTTTAAGTATATTAGAGTGGTGGACAATTATATTGCACTAGGACTTGGCACACCTTGCCAAAGTACTGTACGAGTAGAGAGAGTCTTCATTTTTTTTAATAGGACTGAAATAAGTGTCATTGGGAGTGTACTTAGGTATTAATAAAAAGAATTCAAATTGGGATAATATATAAAAATGGGCAGTAAATTCACTGGAGGAATATCAAGGAGACGGGATGAGATGTACGGAAACACAAAGTTTGATCGTCTAAAACACATGAAGAACTCCCTGACGACTGATCATATATCGATGTTGCAAAAGGAAGGACGAAAAGTCAGTCTACCGCCATGGGAAAGTACAACGAAAACGACTTATATAGTAAGTTTAAAATTGAATGTATTATAATTTAGTAAATTATAAATTCTTCAATAAATTATAAATTCTTCAATAAATTATAAATTCTTATATAAAATAATGTATTGAATAAGATATATTTGAATTGTTAAGCCTATATAATAAATATAAATTAGAATTGATAGTTAAATAAATAGGCGGGCCTATATAGAGCGAAATATATATTTGAATTGTTCATACATAAGCCTATACTATAATAAATATAAATTAGAAGTAATAGTTAAATAAATAGGCTGAACTATATAGAGCGAAAGATGATGTATGTAATAACGCCTATTTTAACCAAATACATTGTATCTGTATCCTCCTCTATGATTACGATTATTCAACGTATGATCTTTTGCTTTTGTAGGGTCGTCAACCAGTAACCGGAGTGTCCGTCGACACAGCGTTCCAGGTGAGAAGTAGAGATGTAATCTTTTACTAAATTTGCCTTTTCCGAAAACATTGTTTTTATTTTGATTCACTTTGAATTTGTTCGAACTCATGATCAAGTATTTTTAAAATCGTCCCTAATATTAGGATTACGTTATTTGTTCAACACACAGGCTTCTGCACAAGATTATGAAGATATGCAAAATAAATAAAAATAAATTGAAATAGGTTGCATGTATGGTTGTGGGAACCAGACTAAGAAAAGTAGGCCTACAAAATAAGGCTATCTATATTTATTTCATTAGGCTCTTATATAATGATATTTGGAGACATAACGAGGAAACCCAGAAACAGAAGGATGTGAATAGATCATTTATGCCAGGCGATTTCGGACTGTTTTATATTCATCATAGGACCTATATATTAATCTGTCTCTTATACACATCTAGATGTGTATAAGAGACAGATATTATACAGTATTGATTAATACTGAATAAATATTAAAACCAGTGAAACAAATATTTAATGAAATTGATACAGAATGAATGGATGGATGAATATAAAATGGAAGAATATAGGCTATCATTTTCATATGACGTTCACCAATATATCCATGGAACTAATTCTTCACCTGTTAAATAGGTCCGACAATCCATCATTGCCATAGTGAGTGTCTATAGAACAAAATCGATGACTAACTATCTTTTGCACATATATAGCTTTATTTAATGATAATGTTTATCACCATTCATATATGTTTATTTTTCATATCCTTCTTCTGGTCATTAATGTTGCAGAAAGAACGACAGGTACGTAAGGAAATAGGTTGGCAATAATAGTAAAGTACCGGTAATGAATAACAATCACTATACAAACAATCGTTGAGTGTTTTGCTTTTCCATTTATGATGTGTTTGAGTATAATTTTCATACTATAAAAAAAAAAACCAAGTTATTTTTAGAGATTACTAAATATTATAGGTTATGAGGTCCACTTGATGTACTTAAAATGAATGGGAAGGAATTCTTCAGAAGAGAAAATAACGATAGTATAATACGTTATTGATCAGGAGTTCAAATGCATGCACAAGTCAGTGACTATGGCAAATGAATACCATAAGGAGAAATAGTATCATAATAATGCTAGAAGTCTAACAGATGACTTTTAGTGACGTCATTACGTTCTACGGTCTATCGTAGTCGTGCAATGGAAAGCTCCCTAAAAGCACAAAAGCAAAAGCAATAGCGTAAATGTACGTAAACACGTGCATTTTGTGGGACAACATGGTGTGCATTTAGGACAGGCGCGTATTTCTTTCCTTGTTCTGATTGGTCAGTTGTTAAGTTTATTTGACACTCCTGAAAGGTCCATTTATAATGACGTTTTATGTTTACACTAGAGAGCTAGTCATTTTACAATGCGAGCCGATGGATCAAACATTGAAGACGTAATCTACAAATCATCTACTGCTATGAATGATTATAATAAGAAGAATACAGATGTGGTATCTTATACACATCTATCCTGCAGCAGGCTATACTTTCTTTATGTATTGCATTATATTGGGCTAGTTATTTCTAAAACATTGTACACATACAAGGAACCTTTCCGGAGAGTATATCAACAATTGACCAATAAAAACATGCTATATACAGGGCCAGGATGACGTGCATATCCAGTACCTTCGTCGACCGCTAGGTCGCACTGCCTGTGCATAATATGCTTATTCCAGATATAAACACTAGAGATTTACACATAGTCTCACATCATATTGAATAAGGTGTCTGGCTTCTCACAATCACTGCATACACATATCATGGTAACAAGTATCATGCAAGAACATCAGAAGAATCATATAGTAGAACACCTCCTTTGGACACCCCTATTCAGAGGAAACCCCTAATTAAGGGGACACTTTCTGTGAATCGAGGGGCATAGGCCTATCTTTTAACGCTACAGCCAACCCCTAATAAGGGGACACTCCTATTAAGGGGACGGGACACTTTCTGAGTACAGCGTTCGTATATACACGCTTTTTGTTGCTGTTAGAAACGAAGTGTTCTCCGAAAATAACACAGACAATAGCCCATCAACAGTGGAGATTAGCTACAAGAGACGAGAAGCAGTGTGCTCAACGCTTAAGCAGCTATTCTTGCAGTATGATATAACCAAGTAAGTTCAGTTAAAGGAGAATTCAATATAATATAGGCTTATATTAATTTTAGCATAGAATTATCTGTCTTGTTGAACCAATTGGTTCAACAAAACAGATAATTCTATACTATTTATGGAACCAGATGAAAATCTTTAAGCATATTATTTTTCTTCATCATATAATATTAAGCGAGAGCAGTTTGGCTCAGTCGGCTATGGTGGTCGCTGAGTCCTGGACATTTTTTGGTCTCCATTTGAATTCCCATCGCTGTTCCCTTTGTATGACGCTCCGTCTTTCGGATGAGACGTCGGTCCCGTGTGCATTATGGGCCCATGTGCACGTTAAAGAACGCAGTACACTCTTCTGAAAAGAGTAGGGATTGTCTTTCGGTGTATACTGCCCAATCACCATCAGAAGGAGACCCTACATTAAATAAGTCTTCTTCAGATCTTCGTTGGTTATCCTTGGTGTTTACACCGAATAAATCCATCCATAAGCGATAATTATTTTCTATCAAAGGAATGGTTACGTAAGCAAGGAGGCGTTAAAGAGGGCTTGCAATTGTCTCCTGGAGCCAATACCAGAAATTGAACTTGATGAAATATTGAAGGTCACTAAACGTGGTATGGCGGGCACTGTGGACTACAACCACTTTATACAGCAATACATGAGTAAGTACATTCACAACAAAAACTATAAGAATAATAATAATAATGATGTTAGTGATGTTGATAATGATGGCGGTTGTGTTGATGATGATGATGGTCATCATCTTAACCATCACAATAAGAATTTTTAAAAATTACATACTATCGTGTATCATTCATCAAATATTCTTTATTCACACAAGGTAACGGTGAATCCCGACACGAACCCGAAACATTGAAGGCCGCACAAAGATCTGAGGAGAACGTAAACTTTGATGATATTCCTGGACTGGAGGCTAAAGAAGAAGCTGAAACAGCTTCCTGGCCACCAAAGACTACGGCGGGGAATCCCCTGTTGATTACGTCGGAACTTGGAAAGAACTATCAAACGACAGCTCATTTTAAGGTAAAAATTAATTACAGATCTCCCTCCAATTAAAGACCACTTTAAGGACCAGTGTTGTAGTGGTCTTTAGCAGCTTTGGTCTGTAATTAGAATCTCTAATTAAAGACCGGCACTTAAATTGGTCTTTAAATATCTCTGTTTAGTGGGAAATTAAGAAATGATGTAGTAACTGTAAGATTGTTTTATTCCAATTGTTTTTTTGAGTGGATGTACAATTACTGTCATTGCTGTAAAAACCTGCACCAAATCCACTATATATTTTTAAAGTATTAGAACATTCGGTTTGGTCTGTCAAAATCTTTGGTGTTAAAGAAAGCCGTCCTAATTAGGAAGAATCCACTTCCGGGATATCTGTTTAAGTGAGTTTTCTTAAGACATCTAAATATATGTTGCTGTGCATGGTGATAACAATAATTATTGGCACTAACTGCTGGGAGACAATTGATAATACAGTAGTAAAAACTTGTAAAAGCATGCAAATTTCATCATGAACGTGCGGGAGATGGTTTATTTCGGGAGATCGAGTCCTTCCTGCCGCTTTCCAGGAGACTCCATTCAGGGACTCTGCATGAGACTTATGACTCATGTGCACTAAATGTGGTCTTTACATTTCTATATTTAGAGGTAAATTAAAAAATAATACATTAAATGGTTTAAAATAGATGTAAAGTTACTGCGTGCTGTTATTTATTCTTAATAAGCATTTCATGGTAGCCATACATCAAATTGTCTTTCCATCAAAATATTACTAATATTGTCGTTATTCAATATACTGTACACAAAATACTGTAAAAACAGTGCAGTGGCTAATGTTTATATGTGTAGTCATACATAACACAATTTATTATAGAAAAATGAATTTACATCACTATTTATTTATATTGGTCTTTAATTGGAAGGAAAATTTTCAGTTGGTTGGTTGGTTCTCTAAATAGATGCACGCATCATCAATCGATCACGATAAAATCGTTTGCCAATACATGACACTGAAATTTCCCCTATTTTTTTTAAATAGTCCGTACAGAGTCGTAGTAGAAATAGGTTCACAAACAGATTTGTTTATGATAGCAATCAAAGGTCGAAAAGTTATGAACTTGCAGAACTTGATTGTTCATGAAAATAATTTATGAATCATTTTTCAAAAGACATCTGCTGGCCAACAGATATGATTTAAATATGTTTTGGTTTGTTTGGACACCACGGTGCACTGATTATCTTTCTCATTAGCTTCTGTCAAACCATAGCAGACTACGGATTCTCCAAATTTAAATTTAAAAATTTAGAAATTAAAAAATAATACATTAACTGTTTTAACATGGATGTAAAGTTACTGCATGCTGTTATTTATTCTTAATAATCATTTCATTGTAGCCAGATATCAACTTGTATTTCCATTAAAATATTACTTTTGTCACTAAAATAATCGTAACTATACACAAAACACTGTGTACAAAAAAGTGCATTCGCTATTTCTATTTCTATGTGTAAATCATCACAATTTATTATAGAAAAAATTAACATCACTCTTGGTTTGTATTGTTCTTTAATTTTCAGTTGGTTGGTTGTTTTCTAAATAGAGGGAATATTTAATAGGAGGAAGTGGCGTATCTAGGGGTGCGCGGGGGAGGGAGCGCACCCCCTCCCAAAAAAATTACTCGCGTCCCCCGGTCGCCCACACCCCCAAACATCACATTCAAGTAGTTAAAATCACCTTATTTTGCGAATTAGTGCCCCTCAACTGATCATCAAGCTCTCACCCTCCCCCCCCCCCCCACTCATCAGCATCCCCATTTCAAGAACTCAGGATACGCCACTGATAGGAAGTAACAGCTAATGATATAAGATATGCATTCAACCGGTGGCCGCAGAAATGTGGTCTTTAATTGGAGGTGGCTTAAATTGGAGGGGTCTATAATTGAGACCTGTATGCTATATTCACCATCTTAATTATCATCATCACCATCACCATCATCATCATCATCATCATCATCACCACCACCACCACCACCATCATCATATCATCATCATAACCATAATTGTATTTTAAATACTCATAGTGCAAGTACCATTAACAGCATTATGTTATTAAAAACGTGAACTACATGAATCCATAACATAAGGTAGTACAATAATTATATATTCTGTTTACAACTAGTTTGGCAATGACGGAGAGAATCCGGCTTCTGTTTACCAGAAAGATTACGATATGAAAGGTCACCTAGCAACCGATAAGCCAGTCCATGTGAAACCACCTGTATCATCCGAGGTTGGTACTTAAACGATTAAACAAATTGTGCAATAGCGTACTGGTGTATGTTTTATATAATATATTTATAACAAATAATTTTCAAATCTATATTAAACTTTCAATTTGCATCTGTAGGTTATGCATAAGAGCGCCGATTCTGAATTTGGAAAAAGCACGAAACAAATGGACTTTACTAAATTAAACATGATAAAGGATCAAAAAACGGTAAGAACAGTCATGTGACCATTTTATATTTAGTAATGACGTAATCAGAGCACGGATGATTTATTATTTTTATAAATATTCTCTTATGTTTATCTCAGTTTGTCGTCCCTGAAACGTTGGCTAACAAGAACAAATTACGTCATTCTAAAAACAGCGTTGTTCTGACATGTGACGAGCAAAGAAACGCAGAGGATAGACAAGCATCAAGTAAGTAACGTAGACGGATGATGATTATGATGATGATGATAATAATAAAAATAAGTCTAATAATAATAAGTATAATAATAATAATAAGTATAATAATAATAATAATAATAATCACAGATAATGATGATGATGATGATGATGATGATGATGATGATGATGATGATGATAATGATGAGCATGATAGGGATGATGATAATGATGATGACAATATGTTAACAATATTCAATGAGCTTCAATGGATGGGGCGTTTGGGAGAATTGTGTTTTTAAGAGCATTCATTATCTTATTTCTTGCAGTTGCTAGGTCTAGTTTTATTAAGTACGAGAATATGACAACGCAAGCGCCGTGTACGGCAGAACGGCCAAAATACCGCTACCTAGATACAGAAGCCGCATTGCCATATATGGGTAACACCCCCTCTAAATCTGAGGCCAAGGAGGCATTTAGCAACCTAACATCTCCAGGTGAGGTTCTCGCAAAGCTGGCCCAGGTAAAAAAGGAAAACAAAACAAGAGTAAACGAGCAGAAGAAAGTCCATTTCAAGTTTGGGTCAGAAGAACCGTCCAAAGTAACAGAAGCGCAAGATGAATACATGCAATGTCGCGCCGTGGGAGATGAAGTGCCTAGCGCTGGCAAGAAAAATATGCACGATCCCAGGTTTAACCATATCGCAGCAAGGTATGTTTCTAAAATTTTATGAAATACTTAATCCAATATTAACATATTCACGTGAACAGTTAACGTATATTACACAAAGTGTATAGTAACGTGTTCACCCACAACATAGACAGCGTACACCCAACGTACACCCACAAATTAGATCCATCAAACTTTTTCACTATCTATTTACAGCAAAAACACACAAGACTTGAAGAAAAACCCGATGTCGTTGAATTCGTTTGATACACTGAGGATGAATAAGAAAGGATATTTCAGTGGGTAGGTAGCCTCTTAAATATCTTGATATGCATTTTGGATAATCACTCGTTGTCGGTCATCCAGTCTCTGAGGCATAAGTTGCAGGTAGATCCCTGGTTCTTAATTACTTCATTTGAAGGGCCAAATTATTTTTAGATTTGATGTCACGGGCCAAAGACAATCTCCGAGTTTCAAGTATCTTGCTATAATTTATGTAAAATTCTGAGATGCTGTGACCAATGATCTGATAATTATTTCGGTGACAAAATAGTAGTGATAGTCCTGATGACGTCACCAAACCTGATTAGGGGATTCTGATCAGATGATTCTGATCAGATGATTGATGACTGGTGCTGGCACCAGAATAGAAGTGTATCAGCATTTCATTTGTCACCGAAACTGATCGTTACGGGGTAAGCTCCCGTAAGTTTTTAACAAATTATTCTGAATACTTAAGGCCCGTAATCGTTCTTATAGCCTCATATTCTGTAAGTTACATATGATTTTCCCCCTTACCAATGTGTTGAGTTCTTTTAGAAATCTCTCTCTGATGGGCTATGCCTCTGCAACTGGCACCACCACTTAATTTAAATTCTCGCAAAATTAGAAACTGACGGTTTTATGTTCCGCATTCATAGAGTAGTCCTCGAATAGTTACATAGGCCTAATAATAAGCAGGCTTATACAGATTTGAAATTAAAAAGTAAAGCATATTTTCACACCAAAAATATTTTTCAGGGTTGCTTGACATTTAATGTTTTCGGTGACTGGTACAGTAGGCCTAATAGAACGTGTCATGTCTCCCTTTCTTCGTTTAAGTGTACCTGTGGGCGAAGTATCGGTTCCTGAATTTGGCTTTTTTTCCTATCATGAGTAAAACTGGATATTTCATTTTTTTATCATATAATTGACCTTGCTTCTTACGCCTAACTAAATATTGTTACCTGCTCGGATGTCGTCCGTACAACAATTCCCTGGTAATAGCAATCATGTAGGAGTATTTTCAAACCAAACATGAAGTTACAGGCATAATCGTGACAAAAAAACGGAATATTTTTTTATCAGCCATACAAAGTCTATATAGGTGTAATTTTGCCCTACCTGACGTGGAAATGTACTGAATACTCAGTACGTTTGAAAACAATTGCGAAAAAAATCGCAAGTTATTCTCAGGTGAGACTCGAGATCGTGGGTTCGTGTCCCACCCGAGAATAACTTGCGATTTTTTTCGCAATTGTTTTCAAACGTACTGAGTATTCAGTATTACGCAAATCCAGTTACTGTCTATTCCATCACGACAATTTTCTATCATACAAAGTTTGTTCAACTTAATAGTTTGGCAGACAATCTGTATTTTCTGTGTGATTTCACCTATCCTATATCTACCATATACCAGGGCTCTAAAGCCTAAAAACATTTCGCCTGTGTAAAACCTCTAGTTCATTCATAATTAAAAAAAAAGTCTCTGATAAAGTTTTTTTTTAGTATTTGTAATGTCACATTTAGTACGGTAGCTGAACTAAGACTACCAATCTTTTGGCGTTTGTCGATTGGTTGAGCTTGAGTAATTAAATTCCAATCAGACCAATCAGAAAAGAACCAGGAATACGCGGTTGTCCCACAAACGCACGCGTGTACGTAAAGTACGTATAAGCTGTCGATTTGTGGATCCTTAACAACTATCCAGGAGGAAAAGGCTTAGCGGAAATATTTATAAAACCATTCTTATATTCTTTCTAGAACTATGACTTGGCTGTAATTAATGAAAAAATGTTTGTAGTTAAAAATTCAAATGCTGATTTTTTTCTTCTGCGAATAAATATAGACTTTTAAATGACCAAGTTAATATGGTGGTTTTTTGATAGTCTTTCCTAATGCTAAGACAGGTTGTTTTAAACAGTAATGTTGTTTCTCGGTCAGGCAATCAACTCCTGGTAATCCCTTACATCTAAGTCTGCACCGTGTGTTTTCAAAACTCGACCCGGATTCAACTGGTAAGGTTACTAAAGAACAGATGAAAGAGGTTTGCGGCAACAAGATCAACATCAGCCATAATGCTATGGAGGCACTATTGAGAAAGTAAGATAATTCACGGTATTCAATCGGGCTCAACTCATATTATTGTAACGTAGCTGAGCTGTAGCGGTGAAAGTTTACTTTTCAATCTGGGATTCTTGAATCAAATCCTGAAAGACCAAAACAACTGAGTCTTTTAAGCCTGCTACTTTCCATAAAATGTCTACACTCTATCGCCGATACTCTTGGCGACGCTGATTGGACGGGACGGTTATGTAGTGTAACAGTGTAGTAATTTTATGGAAACCAACATAAGTCTTGGTTCACACTAGAACACATTAGACGCGTTAATGAAGTAGGCAAACGAACAGTGACGACGTACATGGGATACGCTGCTTACGTACGTTTGCATGAACGCACCAGAAAATTGCTCTAGTGTAAACAGCCCTACGTTTATAGAAAGTTATAGGTCCTACAGTACCGAGACAGCGACTGTTGATTGAGAATTCATCAGATTCTTATTTAGTATGAATGGTAGATGAATCCTAAAGGGAACAGGAGTTCATTTTCTTCATAACCTGCCATCTCTATTTTAGAGTAAAACAGAATAAATAAATTAAATATTTAAAAAAAAACTTCGTAGTGTAATAGGGCTAGACCTCTCTGATGTATTTTAATAAAATAGGTTATCAATCATTAATTGATTATTTATTAATATTAAATTTATATTTTCTAGATGTGATCGTTATGAAGATGGCAATATAAACTACCACACATTTTTGAACAACCTGACAGAGCAGCAGATACCAGAGGGTATATCGACGGCACATACAGGCTCTACGATGTCGAATGATTACAGACCGTTGCAACAGAGAAGGTAAAACCTGTTATACACTCTTTGGTAAAACGTGTATACTGCCCTCAATAGAAATCCAACTTTTGGATAACTTCACAATTTCGCTATTCTGTGATTGGTTTTGATACGGTGCATGCGTATTGATAACATTATATAAACGCAAGTATTGCCTGATGATCTGAAAACTGTTAATTAAAGCAAATCTAAACAAAATTTCTAAACGCCTCAAACACGACAACACAAAAGATTATTGTATACCATGGTATTTTACAGAACACTAAGGTAAAATATGAATATTTGAAGACTTGGTTGCTGAAAAGCATTTTACTAACTTCAAAACTCGGTTATTCATAATTCCCCCACATAAATTTAAAAAAGCAGAAGGTAGTATTCAGAGACAAGTGAAAACGCAATTAAACGTAAAATTCGTAGTAGGTGCGTTTATAACAAGTACATCCTTTACAAGTTTTTCTACATTTTTTCTTTTTTTTTTTACTCTAGTTTTACTGAAGCCCAAGTAAGGACAATCGAGCATATGAACCGAAAACCAATCCTTCCACAACCGTCACACTTGTTTCATATGGACGAAAATAGAGGTATATATAATAATTCTTTATAAATTAAATATTAAATTACTTCGAAGTGTAGATAAATGTATAAGAATACTAACGATGATATAATCGACTCACAGTTTCAACATCCAGAGTTTGAATTTATCTGCTGATGTAGTGAACTATCTTTCATTTGTTTATTTTGTTTCTGTTTCCAGGCAACAATTTTATGTCGACAATGAACCAAGATTTTATTCAACCCGTGATTCAACCAAGAACTTGGATACCCAGTGACGCATGTTGAAAACAATCGTTATATTACACCTCTGGTATTGGGGTGGCTAACAATTGTCACATTACACGTCCGGTGATAGGGTGACAGAAAGCAATCACTTCTTCAATTCACGTCTTTCACATCAGTGGATTTGATCGGCCCGAATTTTATCCACAATATCGTGTTAGATTGACACTTTACTTACGGTATTTGAATAAACTCAGAAATTCATTATAAGAAACTGACACCCATGAATTAAGGGACACTTTCAGACGATGAATATAATCAAGTTATGGCATAAGTATGCCATTGCATTTACGAGAACGATATTTAGGTCATAATTCTATGTGCGTAACTTGTTTTCTCTGTTTTTAAATTGAGGTTTTTAAATCGAGGTAACCTCAGTTTTTTTACGGAGGTTAAGAAAACAGGAATACAGTATACAAGTGTCTTTAGTATTAAACAATGCACTTTTACATTGTCACAAGCAAACCTTAATGGATACAAGTTTTAATGATTACTTAATGAAAATACATTTTTATGAAATTATTTATATATTGAGTTCATAAATATAATAAAATAAACCTGTGGTCTACTTGATTTTGTTATTGATTTTATTATAAAATAATCTTAAAAACAAACTATCGAAAATTAGCACAGACAATGCTGAATCAAAGTACAGTATAATATTTATAGCCGATTCTAATTATTTTCTTCACACATTATATAGACCTGTTGGTACACATTCTATAGCATAGCGCCCTCTATTTGGTCTTTTATTATTACGGCATTATACATTTTAACATTCTGCTAAAAAATTCGGTGGTCATTGACGTAAATTGATTAGGCCCTATGTTTATTTTATTCCTTCCAGTAGTAACACAAGAGAACGAAAACAAGGACGAAGAGAGAGGGAGGATGAGATTCGGAAAAAGTTCTACAAAAACCACCATCACTGGAAAGGCCTTAAACATTAAACATTAATAATAAAAATAGCTACAAAAATATAAGATAATTATTTTAAACATTCAAATACAAAGCAATCAATCAGACAATTGACACTTTAGCAAATGCGACAGTAGGACTGTTATGTTAAATAGTATTATTTAGGCCTATATTAATATGTAGATGCTGATGTCTATAGAGATTTTTCATTATTTTACTGAATAATATTTAATGCCATATTATCGCCCATTTCAAAAGTGTCCATTATCCTACTCCTTGCAACTTAAGGTCACTACCCACCTTAATCATGCGACGTGCCTGAATGGAAAATCCATTCTGTTGGTTGCTGATCATTCTCCAAGTCTTCAATATCGAATTTACTTCAAGAGAAGTATTAAATGGCAGCCAAATTTAAATATTTTCAACATAAAAACATATATCTCCTCAACCGCATATTCTCAGAGCACTACTGACCATAATCTTGTAAACTTGATATTTGTAATTCAATATTTAAAAATACTGTAGTAAAGCCCCATTTACACAATGCAGATGCGTGCAGTGTTTTGAAGAATACAAACTATGCGATGTCGTCGTGTCGTAATCGTGTATAGTGTAAATGGGGCTTTAGTTAACTGAAAACTGGATTAATTTCACCCTCACCTCTTTGCATATGGTATTCTTTGTTGTATTCTTTGTTTTATTTGGAGTTAGTATCATATTTAATTTAGTGTTTTAGTTAGTAATATTTAAGTTCTTGCCAATTTTAACATGGTGGTATACTGTATTGTAAATTAATTTATTGATATAATTTCTGTAGGCCTAATTGAGTTAGATTCTTGTTTGAACATTCAGAATGCACAACATAGCATTTTGGTTTCAAGGGCATGCTGCTTCTTTTTATACACTTTACTTGTAAACATTGAAAAAATATTAATGAAGAAAACAATTACAATTAAAATTATATTGTTGAAACTGTCTTTAATATAAATCAACAAGTGTTACATAATGACAACAACATATGTCAAATTTGCCAAAAAAAAATCAAAACATGGTATATTGCAAAACAATGTAGGATGCCGCCAAACTTCATTTCAAAATGATTTGCAGCAAGTTTGATTATGCAGAGTACAGGGCACAATAAACTTTGCATAGCATGCCTAGCAAGGAGCATACATTCCTGCAACATGGATATAAAAAATAGGTTCCACTCTGACTATGGTCATGAAATGAAACTTTGCATTTTATTTAGATCTGTAAATAAATTACTTAACATAACAACTGCTTCATAAACACAAGTAATGCTAACGATATATACAATTTAAAAATTTTAAATTAATTTTAACTAATTAATTAATTTTAATTTTAAAATTTATTTAATTTTTTTTAAATTAAAAATTTTATAGTGGGCAAATCATAGGTGGATCCAGGAATTCAAACAAGAGGGAGCAAGGGGAAGGAATTTCACAGATCAAGAGTCCAGACCACTTTAGCCCACCATGGTTAGAACTGATGTACTAGATAGCCAGAAATGGCACTCTCAGACTTACATTTGAATGTAATTTTTTTTTTCCCCCATTTAAAAAAAAAATCAACATTTTACCCAAATACCCAGACCGGCTAGGCCCTTCATGAATCCCCCTTTGCCTAAGAGTAATAATCCAACAAACCTCAAAGAATGTGATCTCACTATGAATTTATTCTCTTGTAATACCAATCTCACTACAATCAGCCACAGCATAAATTGGATGTGCATAATGCACAATGTAACTATGACTGAAACATACAATATTTTCGCTCAAACTTCATAATCATATAATAAACAGAACATAAACATTAAAGTGATGGAATGGGCAGTGTACTGGCATAGCTTCCTATTAATTACTATTTTTTTTTGTGGGGGGGGGGGGGAATGGCAAATTTGTTTAAAGAAACATTACAATAATCAATTCACATAAAGATCAACACATTAAATAATCAATATATCTATATAATTTATTAGCAAAAACACAAAAATTGATTACAATCTTAATAAACTAGTATAAAAATTGTCTAAAAATTTAATGTTTTTCCATAAAAGAGATATCATCAAATAATTTCCTAAGAAAATCTTTAAGACAATTTTATTCCATTCCAAATTCAAATATCCTTGATTTTTATTTTTATTCTCTGTATTGATAAACCCATAATACATTGCATATGTGATTGCAAAACTAGTGTTAATGCGGTTTATATAATTCATTTAATATAAATTACCCGCCAATGGTACCCATACATTAACTAATGTAGGATCACGATTTGGTATCATATCGGATTGAGGAACACCATGGTATACCCGCGTTAAATATTGTTCGCCTTTTAAAACTACTTCCGTACTTGTGTTCGTAATTACATCAAAGTTATCTGGATGTAAAACCTGTATGGCTGCTTCCCCGAGTCTTCCTTTGTAATCTTTGGTTTTTGCGCAAATGTCATTTTCTATTTGCATTTGTGGTGTGTTCCACGTTGGTATTATTTTATTAGTGTCCTTCAAAAGTGTAGTACTGGGAGTACCGCGATCAGATGTCACACATGGTGAAAATTGCACAAGGGATTTGAAAACGGGCATTGTCTGTAGTGAGTCATTATGCAGGCACTCAAGTTCAACGGAATCAGAGGATCGTGGGATACTTGACGATTGTAACGACATACTCTGTTCTGTTGTCAGTGTATGCTTTGAGTACGACCTCTTGCAACATGCTTTTCGACAGCATGTGCTGGCTAATTGTCCAAAACCTTTTTCGGGGCCGATAAAGTGACATACGGATTGAAAGAAGAATGTGGAGTATACCCATGTAATGGTCATAATAAGCATTAGGAATATTCCCATTCTGGTGTACGATAAAATGGTTGATGGCATCATGAACACTCCGGCAGAGAATGTAGTCAGTGCTGCCATCGTTATTGCACAGCCCATCTGCGACACCGAGAATATTACTCTTGATTCGCGGTCCTTTTCCTGAGCTAATTGGTATGCGACACCATAGTGAACAGTGAAATCAATCGAAAGACCAACAGCTACAGATATTATAACAGATTCCAAAATATTGAGTTCCCACCCAAGCAGTACTAAAACACCGATTGTCAAAAAGATTGCACCCGAGACAGACAGCATTGCATAGCAAGTTATTAAAGTATTTCGAGTAGTTATAAATAGTACAATGGTAGCGATTGATACAGAAAGCATAAGCGAATGTGGAGTTCCAATCGCGAGATTATGTTGTAAATCGTAAAATGCTAATAAGTTTTCGTCCGCTATTGCCCAGCCGTTTTTTAATCCATCCGGAGCGGTTTCCAGCTCTTTAACAAGCCAGTCATTGATACTGTTCCAAAAATTGCTTACTTTTCCATACACAACCGAATAATTAAATTCCGCCTCAAAAGTTATTAGAACGATACTAATCCTATCGTCGTCCTTGTGAAATTTTGGTCCTCCGACCGTCTGATCATAATATATTAATAAATCTTCATAGAGATAAAGTACTAATTCCTTTAAGCAATACTCAAAGACTGCTTTTGTGTACGGAAATGTTGATTTATTACAACATGGCGAAACATCAACCCCTGTTGACGTCAAACACGGGTTGCGCGCCATCCAGTCACGAAAACCTTCCATGAAACATGCCTCAGGGTGATAACCTGGAAGTGGTTTATAAAATGTCTGCTTACGTAATCTTTGGCAAAATTGATACATCCATTCTTGTGACTCTGGACTTGAAATATCCAAAGTATCGTCTAAAACTAAATGACCAGTATCATCAGGATCCCAATGATTTCCATTGTCTACAGCACGTATTCCAAAAAGAATATTTACAGGAATTGAATTTGAAGGCTCGCTATCTTGCTGCTTCTCAAACCAAAATAAATGTTTATATATAAGATCGTATCTCTCAAATGGATGCGTACTCTGTAGAAGTTGAAATTCTGACACAGTTGGCAGACTCAATCCAGGAGCCACAAATATTAAAATAGCACCAGCTACAGCTAAGAAAAACAATATTAGTAACCACATTATTCTTAAACGAATAATGATACAGGGTAATAATTTCTCAAAAAATATCCGTGAATATTCACTTGCTTGGTAACGTACTTTGTGAAAGAAAATACAAATTTCATTTAAGTGGTTCCTTTTATGATAATTTTCATGTCGTTCTGACGATGACATACAAGTAAATTTCCGACAAATAAAATCATGAATTACTACAACAGCAGGTAGCCACGTCATAGTTAAAACGAAGTTGATAATGATTGCAGTTCCCGCATAAATCGCAAAACAACGTATAGCTGTAATTGAGCTAAGGGCATTTACATAAAACGCTGCAGCAGTTGTGAAACTTGTTACAAACATTGTCAGCACCGCATGGCGTGATGTCTCAATCAAAATTATCAACAGAGGAGTGTGAGGTTTGTCAAATCGTAACTTTTTCCAAATATCACAGAAAACAAACGTGTCGTCAGCGCCAATACCAACGAGTAAAATTATAGCACATAAATTCATGAACGGAAAGAAAACTAACCGGAACACAACAACATAAAAGAAGTAAGCGAAAACAAGTGACATCATTATACTGACCATTGTCATTATTGTAATAAATATTGATCCAATATAAATCCACATAAGAAAAAACACAGTCAGCATTCCAAGGGCCGGGTATAACGTATCTGATAGCAAATAATCAATAAACATGGAATACTTTATGCCGAAGTCGATACCAGCGATTTCAGTCACACCATCCGACAAATCAGAATATTTGAAGTTATCCTCATAGAGCTTTTTTAAATGACTTTCAGACTTCGTGATTGGTGCAATAAGCAAAGTTGCAGATGGTTCGGTATTTTTCGGGTTTGCAACGCTCAAAAAATCAATACTTAATATATACTGAAACATCATGTACACAGCATTAAAGCGGGTGCAGTTTGTTGGCACTGTGTAACAATATTCAAGACGTTTTGAGTCTGAGCTGTAGTCCCAGCATAATCTCGATAGTGTCCTATTATGGAAAAAACCTGCACAGAATTGAAGTAATTCAAGTGTATATGTAACGTCTTCTTGTTGAATATCAAAACACGAGGATTTATTGCGTAGAAGGGTTATGTAATTTCCTAAAGATTTACTTGGACAGCATTGGAAGTTTTGTCGCAAACAATGGCGATCGAAATCGATGTGGCTACGGAGCCGTTGATCAACCTCACAAACTGATTGGATAGCTTCTACGGAGAATAACGAATGCTTGGCCTCCGCGGTGAATGCTATTCTTGCATCTAAATCACCATCTGAAATTTGAAAATTATTATCATTATTGTGGTCTACAGGTGTTTAAACATATGTTCCAGTACCTCCTAAATGTGATGATTTTTAAAATATTGCCTTTTTCGAAGTTTGATAAAAATGAAAAAAATCATAAAGTATTCTAACTTTGTTCCGATTCAGATTCAAATTTATTTGTCCAATATGGAAATAGCAGTGGGTACATTTTCAGGTTATTATAATTGTATAAAAGACATTTATTCCATATAGATAAAATATATGTTAAAATAACTCCAAACATACAATAACAAAATACAGTTAAAGAATAATCATAATATTGTACATCGAGATAGTAATTTATAAAATATTTAAATGTTGAATAGAAGATTCCAGTTAAAATTGTAAAATTACTAAAAGAATAAAAGTATGAAAACAACTAAAAGATACATCCTATAATAATAGTTATCGATGTCAAAATGCTCTAGGTACTTGGGGCTTTCTCCTATCATTAATTTAGAATTTGTGCTTTTTTTTATCATAACTTATGATGGTGATCCATCATAACCAAGAGTTTTTGTTATAAAAAAATCCTGCCTTTTTAAAGAGTAAAGCCAAGACCCTGGAATTAGAAGGCAGGCACCTAAACCACAAAGTCACAGCTCTACTCATAACATAATGTTAGCCTAGGCATACTTACACCTATCACTGCAAAAATATGATGGCTCAGCATCGTCATAAGAGTATGATGATGAAGATGAAGACAACGAGGATGACGACCCTCGGCCTGTCGAGTCGGCAGGCTCGTTGAGGTATCCCATTGTGTCAAGGTCTCGCACCACACGATCGTCCGATGCACTCTCTTCAAAGTAGTCATCGCTATCGTGCAATGTTGGGTAGAAAGATAGTGTTTTCCCTGGTTCACTTTCAGCTAGGTAGAAGTTCCAGCTTGTTATGCGACTTTTGATGTCTGTTCCTCTTGCTTCAAAACCCTTGGAGAACAAATGGTAAAGTGTTTTATTTTTAAAAATTTGATTGTAAAAACATTCATTTTTATTTTTACAAGACAGTGTTTCACTTAAGGGAATAACACTTATAAAATGAAAATCCATATCCATGTCTGGTCGTATGCAAGTAAGAATTAGTTGGTGAAGTGTTCTTTTCTAGCAAAATATTTATACAGTAGATCAAGTGTTCACTATGAGCACATCCCTGGTCTGTAAAAATGGGGGGTGGGAGGAAATACTCCTTTCTATCAAATCCATCTTCCACATCCTATCATATTTAAAAGTGTAGCATATAAAGATAACAACATGACAACTCATTGAAATATATTGATGTATAT